TAAGCTTAATTTAATCAAATTAAATAGATCAAAAAGGATGAAAATTTGGTAAAGGGTGTGTTGGGGAGGATAGAAGTGGTAAGAAGATTTAATAGGGTGATGAGAACTTAAAATGGTTAACTGAGAGTGTTTGGATATTTAATTGTAACAATTAGTACTTTTAGTCAATCCGATAATTGACTTATAATGTTAATTTATAAAGGTTGGCATGGTTTGTACATTTGTTTAACAAAAAAAAATAGAAATTAAGGATTTGAATAACACGATGGGCACATTTCTAAAGTATAGAAGGGTTGAGATAATTAGATAATTTATTATATTTATTAATTAATTTAACTATTTATAAGTGAATGTGATTATATAATTTTATGTATAAATTGACATGTTTTGTAACTTGCATATTTTGACAATGAAATAGAGGTTAATAAACTTATTGAGGTATTTACAAATGATTTTAAAAAGAAGTTAGGGTTATATATATATAAGAGTATGAAAATGTGTAGGTATGACTAGATTCATATAAAAGTGAGATGATCATAGTAGTAGGTAGGAGTTCACCTTGAGTGTGTGGAGATATGTGAAAACAAAATTCATATGATCGAGCTGGCATCCTAAACTATAAGTCAATTATGGTTAAATGGAAAGAGGGAAAAAATACAAAAAGATCCTTAGTCAAACTTGAGTTTAACGATCAATGTTAGATATTTTTAACGGTGTGGCGAAAATACTCTGTTTTTAAACTTTCAAGGAAAAAATACTTCAAACAAGTTTAAGATACCAAGCACCTTTAGAGAAAAAGTTTCAGGGCATTTTTGCCCTTTAAACCTATTATCAAATAGGACCAGGCTGTGTGACCAAATTAGACCCGTTCTTCAATTATAAAGGGTTCTCAGGACAAAGGTTTCTGTACTTACTATCAAACTATAGATTTCCCCTTTTTTTAGAAAACTCAAGGGTGTCATTGTTGCTAGTCCCACATTGTCTCCCACAAGAAACCAATGATACTAGGTGTCATGCCTGCCCATGCCATTTCCCAAGCAGGACAATGACAATGCCAAGCACCTTTTCATCAATTATGCCATGTGCAAACTTTGGTAGGAGCTACACCATGTGAATTTTCACAACACCTTATACTCATTTGAGTAAACTCTTACCCATCAATAATCATGCAATTTACCACATACTTAATGACATACTATAATATTCAATATATTTAACTTGTACCAAGCTCATTCTCATACTCATGTTCATATAACCAAGCAATTATAGCCATACTTGACATCATACCACATATATTGAATCATTCATTGAAATAACTGCTTGCGTCTAAAGATTGACCAAAATTATTCATACAAGTAACTCATACTCATATATATTCTATACTTATTAAGCCATGTTCACATCATCATTTATGACATTGTAACACTTAATCACCATTATAATATACATATGCCCAATATGGTAACTCATTCACTTAATCTCATTTATCAAGGAAAAAATGCTCATTTAAATTCCACATATTATTATATATCAATCATACATAAATCATAAAATGCAAACATCAAACATTTATAAGAACTTAACTCTTAGTTACATTAACCTTTGGGTTGCCACCCCAAGAATATAATTTGGATTTTAAAAGAGCCTCAAACGAGCACAAACACTCTTAAAGCGGTCAATATACATATTAGTTTCTATTATCATTAATTAGCCCTTAATCACAATTAAGACCTAAGATCCTTGTTGATGACATTAATTATAAACAATCTAGTTTCTCACTTCTATTAGCTTATTTAACTTTCATTTAGCTTAAACAACACTTTGTAAACAATAAAATTAGTTTAAACTTGATTAATTAGTGTTAAGATTAATCTCAAACCCCTTTTTAACTGACCATATCCATTAACATAACCCAATAATTAGGAACTTAAACAACTATCCTTGGATTTTGTTGGAATCTCAAACCCCTCTTTAACACTATTAACCATATCCATTAACAAAACCAAATAATTAAGAACTTAAACAATTATCCTTGGACTTTGTTGGAGTCATATGAATGGTTGGAACTTCCATTTATTTTCAAACATAGCTCCTAAACCCATAAAACCGTGAGGAAAATGAATAAAGAAGGTGAGAATGAAGGTGAGAAATCTTAGCCAATGATTTGGTGGCCTAAAACCACTCTAAAGTGACGTCCAAAGCTAACACTAACAAAGCTCCAGCCCTTCTCACTCACTCTCCTATTTTCTTTTATGTTTTTTGAGCAAAAATGCCAATTTTGGAATTTAAATTTCCATTACATCCACTACGACACATTGTGCCATATACAAGAACCTTAATTTTAGCCCATAAGTTGGCCTCAAGGTGGCCCAATCACCTTTTAGAGTCAGATTTAAGTCCCATATTGGGTCCATTAGACCCAATGGTCACCTGTCCACTCTAAATAACTTCTAATAGCCTTAATTTAGCTAATTAAACTCTATTAATTATTTTAATTAATTCTTATTTTAAATTTTGGGATGTTACGGTTAATATATGGATTTTGTCATGTTATATATGGACATTTTGTTGTTCATACATTTGGAAAATTTGTACATTATTGTTCAACTAAATCACATGAACTATATACAGTGAACATATATTGTGCTATTAATGTATGAACCTTGTTATGTTATATATGAATATTCTGTTGCATATACAATTGGGAAACTCATACATTTCAAACGAGGAACAAATGAGTCTTTTCACTCAAAAATATATTTGGATATAAGGCTTTTAACCTACCGAATAAATTTAGAATGTATTGGGTCTTATGTATAAATTTCTTTGATTTGGGACCTTAGGTGTCATTCTACCTAATTTCTACCTCCCTTTGAAAATTATCAAAAATTTTTTATAAAAACTGATGAAAATGATTTTGGCCCTGTGTCCCATCTTATTTGATATCCCCCCTAATGTTGACTATTGTGTATCCATCCCTTGTTTTATGATGAATTTCTATTTAAATAGCGTAACTTTAAGAGATGAATAAGCAAGATGCATTGAGAAGACACAGGAATGGAACTTCGAAGGATGGAATGGGATATGGGATTACCATTGAGATGTCCCGTCCTGTCTTGAATATTATATATATATATATATATATTATTTTTTATTTTAAAAATATACATTAATTATAGTAATATAATTTATACTTATATTAATTATATCAATTATAACTTCAATACGCGCAATTCTTATTTAAAACTAAATTTTTTTATATTAATAATTTTAATGACATAGAATAAATAAGATAATATCTTTTTTTATAATATATTAATTATATTAATGCAATTTATTTTTATATCTATCTATTTAATAGAAAATAATGATTTAATATTGTGCTTAACTTACTTGTTGTTGCCACTTTTATAGCCTAAAAATTACTTGTAATTGCTATCATAATGTGTAGTTATAATTAATAAAATTTAACAATTAACTTTAAATTGTTATGATTTATGTATTTGTGTTGTTTTGATTTTAAATTTAATAAATTATATAATTTAAAATTTTAATAAATATTATTGTTTAATTTTTTTTAAAATTATTTGATTTATTGAGATGGGACAGAGCAGGAAATAAAATTTTAATTTTAATTTTTTTTTTTTTGGGACGAGAGATAGGTTCGAGATGTTCTGATCCATCTCATGAATATCCCTAGTTTCAAGGGTGGATGAACTCAGGTAAAAGAAAACAAAAAGGTTTTTAGGCGGGGGGGAGGGTTGAACGAGTTTTTTGTGGGAACCTTTGGATTGCTTGGACGAGTGAGATTTCGACAAGGCAGAGAATGAAGGGCACAGTTGCACGAGACTGAGAGGATCTACATTCTAAGACGCCCACAATTCACGTGCATCCTCATCCAACTGCTCCCCTTTTCTAATTTTTCTATGGCTCGGGATTGCGTTCTCCTTTCTTAATTAATTCCACAATCCACAACTTGAACCATAAGTTACTCTAAATATCAATATATAAAATTATAAAATTTAATCCTATAATTTTATAAGTTATGAACCACCTCTTTACTAATTAATCTCACTTTTACTTGTCGGGTACCCCCTCTCCCTCCCTTTGCTTAGATCCAATTTATACAATTCTAGTTTCCAAACCAAGGTGGATTTGAGATTCACATTAATTTTGTTTTTAATATGGTATAATCACCTTTTTTTAAATTAAAAATTAATAACATATTCTGTAAAATCTAATACTAATATGTAATGTAGATTTAAGATTTTGAAATTAAAAAAATAAATGATTTAGGGAAAATATCACCAAAAGAACTATTGGAGATATTTTATGTTAAGGAAGGCCCTAAGATTTTTCATTGTACCCCTTTGGTCTTAGGTAGAAAATAAGTTTTTATAGAAAATGATAAAATTATTTCTAAAGTTTTGAGTTTTGATAATAATTAATTTAATAATAATAATAATACATTCAAAATTTAACAAAATTAAAAAATAGATAGCATAAATTTAATAGAACAAGTGTTCATCTTACATAAACAACAAACAATTTGAGTTTTAACAATAATTAATTCATTATTAATAACAACAAATTTAAAATTTAATAAATTTGAAAAATTAACAATATATATTTAATGGAACAAGTTCACTTTGTATAAACAACAAGCCACTCAAGTTTTGCTAACAACTAATTCCAACAACTAATTCAAAATTGACAATAATAACACAAAACCAATTTTGTTTAGTTGTTTCTTTTTTATTAAAAGCGATAATTAAATTATTTCTTATAAAATTTATTTTCAGTTTTGACAAAGGAGGTGCAGTTAAAAGTCAGACTTTTAAAATTATTTTTTAATATAAAATACTTCCAGTAGTCCTCAGATGATATTTAACATTTACTTTCATAATGTAATTTGTCCTCAACAGTCATAACCCACCAGTTAGAAACGCTTAATCCATAGTCAATCGGCGGCACTGCAGAATCGTTTCCACGGGCTTTTTGTTTTTTCATGTCGTGACCACTGAACTGAATCATTACTCAAATCTGCATCAACATCACTCATTCACTTTAGCACCTCAGGTTACTAGTTTAGATAAAAACTGAAGGGACAAAACAAATCCCATTTGAAGCCAATAACAAGGTGCCCGTTTGGTTTGCGTCAAGAATCGATTTTTTGGGGTTTAATCGATTTTCAAAACAAAATTTGCCAAACAGTAGAAAAATGCAATAATCGATTAGGGAGGTTAAACGCGCGTTAATTCTTAATCTACCAAAACCAGCTTCAGCTTTAAGCTTTTTACCGTTATTCACGTGCTCTTTATCTGTGCCCTTCACGTGATTGAGTTCTCTTCTTTCTAATCCTCATTTGTCTTCTATCAGGCGCAGCTTTCTTTCTGTGATCTCCTCTTTCGTTCAGCTCACCAGTCGGTCCTCACGGTGGTGCCGCCGCTCTGTCATCGTCCAGCCATCCCCAACTTAGTCACCGTCCACCATCTCCCGTCGTGCCGTCTCTGCCGTCGTCCACCCACCTCCAACAGGTGTGCCGTCTCACAGTCGGTTCTCACAGAGGCAAGGATCTTTCGACTATCTTCCAACTCTGTGCAGATCTGTGGTCCTCGTGGCGTCACCTCCTCCGTCCACCGTCTCTGAGTTGCTTCCAGTGGTGGTGATCTCCTGCTATGGTCGAGGAAGGCAGTAAGCTTTATCTATACTCTGTTTCCTCGATCTGCTCATGGTCCTCCGTCTGTCGCTGATCTGCTCGTGGTCCTCCGTCCGTCGCTGATCTGCTCGTGGTCCTCGGTCCGTCGCTGATCTGCTCGTGGTCCTCCGTCCGTCGCTGATCTGCTCGTGGTCCTCCGTCGGTCGCTGATCTGCTCGTGGTCTTCCGTCCATCGCTGATCTGCTCGTGGTCCTCCGTCCGTCGCTGATCTGCTCGTGGTCCTCCGTCCGTCGCTGCTCTGCTCGTGGTCTTCTTCAGTCGGTCTAACTCAGAGGTAAGTGATCTTCTCTTTCTGGACGATCTTGTTCAGGTTTGATCTTGGTAAAATTTTGTTTTCCTCTCCACTCTGATCTATGCATGGATGGATTTGTTCTCGGGATTGCTGGCTTAGTTTTGTGTGGCTTGAACCATTTACAACTCTTGAACATTTGCAAATAATAAGATGGGTGAAAGTTGATTTTTTATGCTATTTCTGTGTTAGTTTTGTGCCTAGTTGAACTCTGTGCTGAACATGGGAGATCTGTTAAAAGTTAATTTTGTAGCTATTGAAACTTGATTTTAGTCAAAATCTATGCATCTGCAAATTGTGGGAAAGCTGGTGAAAGTTAATTTTGTGCCAAGTCGAACTCTTTGCTGGTTTTGGTTTGTGATCACTGATTACTGGAGCTTTATTCTCAAACATTATGTTTTGCATATATAGGGGTCATTTAGTCAAATTTTTTGCTGTGTGAGTCTCTGTTGAATTTGGCTCCTCTGAAAATTGCCAAGTTTTTATCATGTAATATTTTAATTATAATTTCTATAATTAATATGTTAGTTTTTTACATAGTATAATGAGTAACAATAAGTCAAAAGCTTCATGGGATCGAAGAAATACTAGAATCTTTATTGACATTTGTTTGGAACAAGCTCGAAAATCGCAAAGAAATGGTGGTAGTTTTACCAAAGCAGGATGGCTCAGCATAATTTCTACCTTCAATGAGAAGACTGGACAGAAATATGACAGACAACAATTCAAGAATAAGTGGGATAATATGAGAAAAGAGTGGGTACTATGGGATAAGTTAGTTTCAAGTGAGACAGGATTGGGTTGGGATTATGCAAACAATACTGTGGATGCTTCAGACGATTGGTGGGAGAAGAAGATATTGGTATGATGTTATTATATGAGGCTTTATATTTATTTTATTTATTTGTGTATTATGTAATATTATTGATAATTTATGTGCAGGAAAATCCTTTATATGAGAAATTCAGACATAAAGGATTACCATTTGCCAATGAATTAACCGAGTTGTTCCAAGGTACTATCGCTAATGGACCTAGAGCATGGGCACCTTCAAGTGGAGTTTTGCCTAACATTTACAATAGGAATGAAGGTGAGGATGAAGAGGTGTATCGGCCTGATATGGCAAATGAGGGTATTAATTTGGAGGAAGGTTCAGGAGATAGTGATGAGATCTTAGGAACTACTGGAGTAAGCGGTGAATTTAATAGAGTAGTTCTAAATGCTTCTCAAGGAACCTTAAGTGGAAGCAGTGGTAAGAGGAAGAGGGGCGAAAGCAGTAACGGTAGAAAGAAGAACAAGTTACCTAGTACAAGTCAAATAGCAGATGCAATGAGTGTGATAGCTCAGACAACAAAGGAAGAATCTCAACAGGCCAAGGAAACATCAATTCCCGAAGTCATGTCTATAGTCAAACAATGGGAAGAAGTTGCAACTGATAAACATTGGGTTTCACGATGCATGTCACTCTTCATGTCCCGAGAGGCTAGGGTGATGTTTTTGACGATGAAGGATGATAAAGAAAGCGTTTTGGAGTGGTTGAGATATGAATGTTACAAAAATGGTTGATTATTGGAGTTTTAAAACTTATTATGAGTATATGATCTTACTTAAAAAGTAATCTAACATGTTTGTATTATATTGTAGAATTTAACTTATGTAGCCTCTTGAACTACTTATGTACTTTTTATATATGGTAATTGAGTATTACAATGTTGTGGAAAAGTCATTGGTATTTCTATAGATGACTTATTTAGATGTATCTATAATTGAAATTAAGTGCACGTATTATTTATGTGTTTGGCTACAGATAGCAAGACATATGGAAGAGTCATCTAAAAAAAGGCTAAATAGAGCCCAAAAAGTTAGTGCTCTCATTGGGTTGTATGCAACAAGACATTTGTGCAAAGAGCCACGAAGAAATAGTGAATATACAGGTCATTTGTGGGTGAATGAAATTTTAGAAGGACACCCAGTTCGTTGCTATGAAATGTTTAGAATGGAACCACATGTGTTCCATCAATTATGTAGTGAATTGACACGACATGGATTGAAGGATACTAGGCGAATGAGAGTACAGGAGATGGTTGCAATTTTTTTAAATACAATTGGATATGGGTTGGGAAATAGGATGGCACAAGAAAGATTTCAACATTCAGGAGAGACTATTCATAGACATTTTCATAAAGTTTTAATGGCTTCCTCGAAACTTGCAATGGAATATATTAAACCACAAGACAAGTCCTTTCGTCATGTATCAAACAAAATAGAAAATGATAAGCGATATTGGCCATTCTTTAAAAATGCCATTGGAGCAATTGATGGCACACATATTCCATGTGTAGTCCCTGCTAGTGAAAAATCAAAATATATTGGAAGAAAAGGAATCCCTACGCAAAATGTAATGGCTGTGTGTGATTGGGACATGTGCTTTACTTTTGTCTTGGCTGGATGGGAGGGCACTGCACATGATGCTCGCATTTTTCAACATGCCCTGACAGCTCGATCCATGAACTTTCCACACCCGCCTTCAGGTATTTTTATTTGTTCAATTTATTTGTGTTAGACTTTCCACCTTACAGGCATTGATAGTTATTTTTTTTACAAGGTAAATATTATTTGGTGGATGCTGGTTATCCAACACCAAATGGATATCTTGGTCCGTATAGACGGGAACGCTACCATCTTCCTGATTTTAGAAGATCAACTGGATTTGCAAATAATAACGAGGTCTTTAATTATTTTCATTCAAGTTTACGGTGCACAATAGAAAGAACATTTGGAGTTTGGAAGAAGAGGTTTGCAATTTTACGCAACATGCCTAGCTATGACTACGATATACAAGTTCAAATCGTTGTTGCATCAATGGCGATACATAATTTTATTAGAAGACACTCTAACTCTGACGCTGATTTTATGCATCATGAGATGGAAGATCAGGAAGATTATGAGGACCAAGAAGACCATGGCGTTGATGGATATTCATCCATGACATCTTCTTCATCAGCTATGACTAGTATTCGTGATATTATTAGGGACCAACTTGTATATTATCATCTTCATTAGTTGTTGTAAAATTACTGTTTTATATTTAAGAATTTAATTTTCTTGTCTTTTATTGAATTTATTTTAAGCAAGATATATTTAGTTATTTATTTACATAAATTTAAATGTTAATATTAATATAATTTAAATTTTTAATTAATTATATATGTAATTTAAATAATATATTTGCTTTTTAAATAAAATGTAACAACTTTAATACTATTACATACAAATCTATCATTAATTTAAATTTAAAAAACAATGTCCTTTATGGTAATTTAAACAGCTAAAATTGATTCTAAAAAAATTATCCAAACATCTTCAGTTCTGTTAAAATCAATTTTAGAAAAACAGCATCCAAACATATTGCGTTCTAACATAATCAATTATGATTAAAATCTACCACTTAATCAATTATTTTCATAATCTATTATGCCCAACTGAAATCCAAACGGAGCCAAGGTCCTTTAATTTGGCTTCCGATTACCGAAGCAGACCTGCAGGTGTCAGGCTCTAACTCACTGATACATAAGGCAAATCCAGAGACCTCAGGCCAGGAAATGGGCTTCACGATGGGTCTCAACCTCATCCTCCTCGTTGCCATGGTGGCCACGAACATCCTTGCCCTCTATCACCTCACTGCCTCCTCGTTCGAGCCTCCCAATTCCCCGAAAGCACCTCAACTTGTTCCTGACCAGCTTCTTCACCAACTTCACACTATACGCGCCACCGTTAACAGTCTCACGCGCCTTCAGCACTCGTCTGGGAGTGACAATCCTGCTTCCGCCACTAAACCCACTGTCCCTTCAGATCTCTTGTTGTACTCTCATCTTGCTCCCATTGCTTCGGCTTGTCATAACTACCCTGAGCTTCTGCACAAGTACATGAGCTACACTCCTTTCTCGCTTTGCCCTTCAGATTCCGACCTCGCTGAGACTCTCATTCTCCGAGGTTGCCACCCACTTCCTCGCCGGCGATGTTTCTCCAGAACCCCTCAAAAGCCTACTTCTTCTCTTCCCCTTGACCCCTTCACTTCATCGCTCCCGAGCTCCAATGTGATCTGGGATAAGTACTCCTGCAAAAGCTTTGATTGCCTCAACCGCTTGAATCCCAATATGGGTTTCGACCTATCTCAAGAAAGAGCCAAATTCGTGAGCTACAAAACCGAATTGGATCTTCCGATCCCCCAATTGATGCAAATCGCAAAATCAGCGAAAAACGTTCTCCGTTTAGGTCTCGATATCGGTGGCGGCACTGGGACCTTCGCTGCGAGAATGAAGCTCTATAATGTGACGGTAATGACTACAACCATGAACGTGGCCGCTCCGTACAGTGAGGCTGTTGCGCTGAGGGGTTTGGTACCGCTGCATGTGCCGTTGCAGCAGAGGCTGCCGTTGTTCGATGGTGTTGTTGATCTTGTTCGATGCGGTCGCGCAATAAACAGGTGGATCCCATTAACGATGATGGAATTTTTGCTCTACGATGTGGACAGAGTATTGAGGGGCGGAGGGTATATGTGGATAGATCAATTCTTCAGCAAGAGAGTAGACCTTGAGAAGATTTATGCCCCTTTGATTGGAAAGTTTGGGTACAAGAAGGTGAAGTGGGCGATTGCAAATAAGACTGATGCTGCTGGGTTGAAGAATGGAGAGGTTTACTTGACTGCCTTGCTGCAGAAGCCTATGTCAAGATGAAGTTAAATACCACCGAGGTAGCGTACTGTCTCTTATTGTGAGGTTCTTTCTTCTTTGTTGTTTGTAACCCCCATGTACCTTAGAATGTTAAATGAAGACTACGTGATTCATAACCAGCATTTATCAGCATCTGCCATTGCAATTTGATTACATCATGTTGTAGGTGAATAGAACTTAGCGTATAAGACAACTGGGTTTGATAGACCAATTCATGCTGAGCTGAGTGGTTATTGAATGCTTTAATAAATATGTAACTAAATTGGTTGAACTTGGGGTTTTCTGGTAATTTAAAGCACCAAGTTGTCTTTCACGATGAAGTTGATGGGAATATTATGTAACAAGAATTCGAAGTAGTATGGAGCCTAAGGACTGCTTTGCTGGTTTTTATGTGTTTGTCTGCCCAGACCATGTTACATTCAATTGCCTTGGATCTTCATTGGAGAGCTAAGGTCTTAGTTTCACTGAAATTTTCCATGGAACAATGTTTGGCTCAAATAGCTGCAGACATCAGTATCTTTTACAATGACGTTGTTCGGATGTAACCAGAATTTTAGACTCACGAGAAGTTAAACCTTCTGGGCATCTACTGTTGATTATTCTGAAGAATCACGTCTATTTTCTACCATTGTCCATAAAGTGCTTCTGTAATTTTTAGCATGTGGGGTTTTCTTTCATTTGCTTTTTTCAGAAACAGTAAACTTCTGGAGACTTTTTTCCCCCTTTCTTGTATGAAAGTCTGGACTTCCTGGGAATAGCCATGTTAGTCTGCAACTTCCTAAGTTGTTGTGCTTAGTTATTTTGTTTTGATTGTGGTTAGAAAGTAAAATAATGGTACTTTTATGGGTTAAAATAACAGCCGACAATCAGAGTTGTTGCTCTTTAACCATCCATCTACTATTTTTAGTGAGCTCACTTTTATGAAGTTATATGTAGTTTGATTCATCGAGAATAGATACTAGATTATGCTAGATTTTTAAGCAGACATGCTTTTCGGAGCACAGGAAGGCTGTCTGCACTAAAATGTATGTTCCTTACATTTTTAGAGAATTCGGTAACTCTGGTTCATGTTCTGAGCAAGTACTGTCATTGTCATTTGAGGCTTTACATTTCACCTCCATACATCACTTCTCACTAAGGAGGAAAGGAATGCCCTTTTATAAGGGTCACTATTTTGCACAGAGCGCTTGTAAACTTCAAAAGTGATTTTAGCACGTGCGACTTTCTATTTTCTACCATTTGCTTTGGCTTGAAGTTATAGCAGTCAAAATTCATGAAACAGTTTTGTTATATCTTAAGCATGCTACATTTTCTCAGTAGGTTCTCTACTGACTGCAAATATTCATGTTATTCTGCAACTCCCCAATATACTGTGCTTAGGGAGATTTTGTTTTTGTTCCAATTGCAGTTAGAGATTTGAGTACTCGATAGGAGGTGATGAGGTGAATAGTTGTTTTTCCTAATTTTCTTGCTCTTTCTGCCTCAGGTTGTTAATGAAGAAATACTGATGTACACTGGGACAAATTGCCCTTGTTGGTGATTGTCAACGTTGCAATTATATCAACTCAACGAAGGAAATTTAGAAGGCAGGTCAAATGGAATTGTATATCTGTAGTGGTCTTGGGACAAATGGCGGAGGAATATATGCCCATAAACTTTTTGTTTTTTTGGCTCATAGTCGCTTCAAATGTTGTTTCAATTAATTGATTAGAAATAAATTTTAGCAACTCCTACTGTGCCTGGTTAGCAGTATAAAATTTTTTTATACGATTGGTATTTTGATTAGGGTTGTCTTCAGTTAGCAATTAACTCAATTTCACCAGAAAATCAAGGGGAAATCCAAGAAATGCTAATCTAGCTCAGGCCGGACGCTCCTGGTTGTACACTACCTGCCATTAATCTCAATCATTCATAGAGAATAAATCAGCATAATTTTATCCAATTTTTTTTAACGTATTCATATGTCTATTCATAATTTAATTTCTCATATACGAAGTTGATCATATATTGTTAAATGACGGATCCAACATGTCGACAAACTCCATTAAATTCTCGTTGAAAATTTTCAATATCTAAATAGTATGCATAGGTCACCCTTTGAAATTGAGAAAGCACGTCACTAGATTATAAGTTAGGAGAATAATAAAAAAATTTTAAAACGATCAATTAATTTAAATTAAATTTCAAGTGTCAAACTCTAAATTTATCATTCAATCTCTCAATTTTACAATTATGTTGTGTTAAATTTGCAACTTATTTTTTAAATTTTAATATGGTTGAAAAATAAAATTTATTTTTCTGTTAAAATTTAAAATATAAGTTGTAAATTCATCACAATAAAGTTGCAAAACTGAAAAATTAAATTGTCAATTCTTGAAATTTAACACTCAAAATCTAACTTTAATTAATTGATCTTTTTAGAACCCCTCTATCATTCTTCCTTATAAATTTGCCTTCAGTACAGCTATTATACCAAAAGATGTTTTAGAAATTCACTAACAAATAAAGCAAGGAAGGTACATCATCGTGCCGATTTTCGGTAACACCAACATTAGACGCCCCTTTCTCATTCTGCAGCTTTCCGCCTTAGTAGGTGATCCAAAGGAAGCTTGTTGATCTTGGCAGCAAGTATGAAGTCATTCTCTGTCAGTCCACCTGCATGGGCATAGATCACTTTGTAAACTTCCCAGGGAGTAGATTCAAGAAAAACTAGCATTATACATCAGGAATGAAAAAAATTGGGAAGAAAGTTGGACACATGTATTATTAAACTACGGATAAACTATGGGTGTGTGCGCGTGTGTGTATATACATACATGTGTGTGTGTGTGTGTGTGTGTTATTAAACAGCACAAATGGAAATTACCTAAAAACATACATTTTCCTGCTTAGCGCACATAAATTATAAAATGCAGCCCAAGACAATCACTTCTCAACATTATTTCCTTTCGTTTCAGTACTCACATTACCATCAGCTTTCAAATTGAATTTTTTAGTTGCTTCCCTTTTCTGTACTTGTGACGAGCAGCTTCTAAACAAATAAAATAGCAAAGGCTTCGGAAAATCAGGACCAATCTTCAAATAAACCGGAGTAGGGATCTTTTTCCCTTTTAATTTTATGGAAGATGAAAAGCCAACGTCATTAAAGACGGACCAAATTATCTTATGCTAGAAATTGTGTTTCACCAATGCTGTAGCTTAAGCATCAATATGCCAGCCCACACCAGCATTGATTTTACATCTTGCTGGGGAAAAAGCATTTGTATATCATATTTCCACATGCTGACATTAGATCAAATAAGTTGTACAGTAGTTCATACCAATTGCATGAGTCCAAATCTCAATAGTAACATTGTTCCAACCAACAAGGTGAAGATCAGGATGATGACCTGCATTCCAAACGCCAGTTACATCTTTTACATAACCTTTAACATCAAATAATAAGAGAATAGTAACACAAAGAAAAAAAGAACATGATACCTTCATTTTCAGCAAGATCAGCGACTATCTTGAAAAATTCCAACCCCTTGGTGAAAGATTTTACTTTCCACGACTGCCTCAGCTTCATTACACCACCTTCCTTTACCAAATTCCATCCAGCAACCTGATCACCCATCGTAAATAACAAAGATGATAGCACTCAGAATTAAGAGTCACAGAACTTGAAATTTATAAATGAACCTGCGGCATAAGAGAGTCTGCTGCACCATCAGTCATGGGTCGCAATTCCTTTGTATTACATGGTACACACTTCTTGATTAACAGATCTATCAAATAGCCAGGAAAAAAAAAAAAGCATATTAGACAACAACATCAAGGAGATTTTTTGCATATGCATGATATGCTATAACCAAACTAGTTTCTTACACAGAAAAGGAGCCAATTATTGAGAAAAAGAAATAACACATAATCCAAGAATGGGAAGGTCCATCAAAGGAATGACAGTGTCTCTAAATAGGAAACAGGGAGAGTATAATGCCAGAGTACTGTAAACATATCAATGCACAAAACAACCCTTGAATGAGCAGAAAGTGAACAGGGGGATATCCTTGAATGTTGACAAAGCCCAGCAGCACCGGGCACAGGGGCCACGTGAAATTCAAATCCCATGAAACAATCATAAAACCGTCCATGGAACAATGACAGAACTGTGTTAAAGGTAGGACATCTAGCCATCATTCTCAGGTAAATATATTTCTTCTTCTAAAAAGACAAGAGTTTCAATCTAGAGAATGCAAATGCATTTTCATCCATTCCCATCCTGCTGACCATACTAAGAGCGGGACATTGAAGAATACAACTCTTTATTGGTAATAAATATACTCCTTCCGTCCCAAATTATAGGAAACTTTTGAAGGAGTTTCTTCATCCCAAAATATAAAACACTTTTCATTAAATACACTAATTCTAATATTATCCTTTATCTTTCTATAGCTAATTTCTATCCCTTCTTTTTTCAATATATTAAATTATGGGTTTTTTAAAAGTTTATATTTTTGCTTTCGAAAAATAAGGTTGTTAAATGTATTTAATGAGGTTTATTGGTATATAAGATTTTATCTAAAAGTGTCTTTTAATTTGGGATGAAGGAAGTAAAAGTAGTGAAATGTGAACAGAAGGTACTTGGCTTCTCCGCAATCATGGAGCAAAACATTGAGAAGGTCTAGACGCACCTTTGCTGGTGCAATATGTTCTAAATCTGGAAAGTGAGTTGTTTGATGAGACTCCAACTTGATCCTTTGGTGTCTCAACGGCACGACTACATAAACTGTAAGCAAGTTAAAGTGGATTTCCAAAGAACAAAGATTCATGCTGAAAACTTGATAAGTAAAACTCACCAAACATTGAAAACTATAAATACTGAATAAATAGGTGAAAAATCTGTAGGTATATAGCAAATACACACTCACGGCTAATACATAATTATTCAAGCGACTATAATTAGAAATTAGTAGAAGAGTATCCGGTACCTAGTTTAACTACAGCCAAATCAACCAAAATCATGATGATACAGTGAAAGTACCACAGCCAAATCAAAATTTCAACTTAATGACGCCACGGTTCTACAGTTTCCAATTAATACCCTAGGCATTCATCACTGTTAGATTCTCCCTCTAGTTTCTTACCCCAGCCAGGGGAAGATGGCATCAACTGGAGAAAATGAGACAACCACAGAAAAAATGACTCGTCAAAATGTAGAATCCACATAAATGCGGGAACCCAAAAGAAAAATCTTTAAAATGTTAGAAATCTTGAAAACATATAAAATCCAACTGAAAAAACAAATAGTACCATCCATGCGAACGAAGTAAGCCTTGAAGCAACGGTGCAAATGGAGCCTTTAGGTTGGGCGGAGAGAGTAGGGGAAGCTGAAGAAACCGATTCATTTGATAAAAGCTGATCCGTGAAGATTCTGGCACTTTGTATGATGTGCGCGCGAACTGGGGAGTGTGAACACGTACGCCACAGCAAGCACTAACCATTTCGCGGGTCCAGATCCTCTCCGCGGCCTCTTTCTCAGTGTCCCTGCGCTTCACTTATATCCCAGCCGTTCATTTCATCCACCCTCTCATGATTTGCCACGTTAGAGTTGATGACATTGTAATTTTTGTTATCTATTCTAAAAAATAAAAAAATAAAATAAAAGTTATTCTTCAGAACTAAAAAAAAAACATATTTTAAATATTTTATTATTTAGAACTAAAAACAAAACATCTTTTAAATATTTTATCATTTTTTGCAAAACTAAAAAAATAAAAAAATATTATGTTGACACATTAAATTTATATTAAACATTTAAATATTGCTAAAATATTTTTAAATGTTGATGCATTAAATTTAATTTTTTTAAAAAAATAAAAATTTGAAATACATATGTCAGAGTTATAGGTTTGAAAAGATATTTTATAAAATTAAAGGATTAAATTAAAACGTTATATGAAATTAGAAAACGAAATGTATACTTTAACCTAAATTTATTTACAATATAAATTTAATTTTGAACAATTTTTTTCCACATTTACCTTGCCCTATTGGTGGAAAAATTTTACAATACATAGAAGCATAGTTGTCAAACTCTTGAATTAACTCTTTAATTTTAACATTTTTACATTTTTAATTTAAAAAAATTATATCAACTCATTCATAAATTTAAATTAGAAACAAATTTGATTAAAGTCACAAGTTTACCTTTGACTTTACCATTTTTATTCTTTTAGTTCAGGGAGAATTATAGTTACCTCCCACATAAGGAAATTAATTACTGTAAGGTCCATTGACAACTAAACTAAACTACATTAACAATTAGTTATGTTGTTAATATAGTTTAATTCAGTTGTCAATAGACCTTACAATAATTAATTTCTTTATATAGGACTTTAATATAATTTTTCCTTTAATTTATAAAATCATGTCAACTAATTCATAAACTCAGATTAGATGCAAGCTTGTTAAATTTGTTAAGCTCGTTATTTATTTTTTTTTTTTTGAGTAGAGTGAGTTAAACATATACTATGAAGAATTCAATTCATAAAAACTATAGAACCTAGTTCAAAGGAAAAAAACTTAAAAAGAAAAATTAACATTAATAAAAAAAATTAAAAACTAAAAAATAAGTTTTTCTATTTTAAAATTTCTATATTTTGTATGATAATTTATCAATGTAGATGTGTTTAATTTCAATAATTTATATTTTAAATACATTTAAATCAAATTTCTATATTCTAATATTAATTAAAAAATACAAAATACAAAAAATAAATTTTTCTATTTTAAAATTTTTATGTTTTGTATGATAACTTATCAATGTAGATATATTTAATTTCAATAATTTATATTTTAAATATATTTAAATTAAATTACACTCATATTTTAGATTTTAATTATTTAATAATAAATTTTTAATAATTATTTATTAATGGAAATAAACTCTTACAAATTTATATTTTAAATTTACATTTTTATCATGAATTTATTTTAACTCAGGAGTTTAATGCACAAATCTTCACTTTATAGGGATGTGTAATAATGCTTGAAATTGTAATTTGTTATAAAATAATTTGAATGCTATGTTATATAGTGTTTAAAAAATAAGTCACAATTTTTGGTTCATAATTAACATGATTTGTTTGGCCAAACAACGTGATTTGTTAAAATTTTCATAGTATATTTTTTTATTTATAAATATAATGTAATTTATTTCTCATATTTTCATGGAAATGTATTTGATCAAAATATAAAATGTTTATAAACTTATGAAATTATTTTAAATCACATGTGGGTGATTCTTACGTGTTATATAAAATCTGAAGCATATATATTTTACATTTTAATTAGTGGCACAAATTAATTAATAGTTAATATTCTAATTACTAATCATGTTAATTTGAAAAACCATAGAAGACATGTTAGTCAAAAAAATGTTATCGACTTTTGTCCAAAAAATGAAAAATCTAGTTAAAATTATAGACATCATCATCATCATTATTTTATTTTTTATAATAATTATTGTTTACTTTATTTTGAATCATTAATATGTCCACATATAAGAATGAGAATTAAAATTTATTTTTCATACTTTATGCATAAAAATATATAGACAAATATAAATAGAAATTATTATTAATAAATATCTAATTGCATAAAAATACTATTTTAACCACGAGATTTGAACATTTTGATATTTTGAATCATTTTAAAATTTGAATCTCTACTCTTTACGATATTATTTAAACACACTTTTTTAAAAAACAGTATCATTAATTAATATTATTATATTTTTATTTTTGATAAATCATATAAATTTATTGTTCCAAGCTAGAAAAGTTCCTACAAGAATATTTGAATTGTGCAAAATTATTTATAAAGTATTTTGCAAAAAAAAAAAATGCAAGTGTCTTGACATATGGTAATGAGTTGGTGTAAATAATCATACAGTACTACACATGTTTAATCACAATCCAATGAAAAATGCTTGCAGCCTTGAAACTCGCTGTTTAACTGGAAATTCCATACTGATTCACAATCCAATGTCAAAAACTTTGATGCTTCATGCATATCATCACAAAAATTAACGCAAAAGACTCAGAATATTCTTAATTAAAACACAAAAAAATGATATTAAATTAAAATGCATTTAAAAGACAATTTTTGAAGGATCAAAGCTATTGTTGGTTCTCTTAAAAATTATTACAACACCCATATTTTTTTCAAATTATAAATACATAAAGTTTCTGTAAAAAAAAAAAGATCAAAATATAGAATCAAAAATGAAAAATGAAAAATATGTACAGAAAAATCAGAAAAATTTTAATTTTCAACATCAGTGTTATTTTTATCAAATTCACATCCGTAATAAAATTTCCCCTTAAATTTAATTAACTTGTTCAGATACACAAAACCCAAATTTGCTGAACTAGTTGCGAGATGAGAGGTTTTTACTCAACACCTGAAAGGTAAAAATTCATAAAATATATATTCTGAAACATACTCCATCTATCCTTATACATAAAATATTTTTAACCAAATTTCACATGCCAATAAAATCTTGTTATTCAATTAAAATTACATTAAATTACAATAATTTTTAATTTTGCCTCTAATAATATCAATTAATATTATAGTGATAGTGGATAAAACATCTAATTAATATTTCTTCCCCTTTTTCAGGACAAGAGCAAATTATTTAATTACTCAAAAATATCATGACACTCATTGTATTTAAGGATAAAATAAGATTTTAGTGTAGAGATAAAAAGAGTAACTGGTCACCAGCAATTTTCATTAGGAGTCTATCACATCCCAAGACCCAAAGGGTGTTATCCTATTCTAGGGTTTGACTTATACTACATTTTCTGAGAATAAATTAATTTGCTATGATTGTTAGATACCCTATACCAACTAGGATACAGTTTACTTCATACAAACTTCAGGACATTAATTGAATTTTCTGAAATCAACCTTGAGAAGTTAGATTACAGCACCTCTATCGTATGAGAACGTAGTCTGCGTCCTGGTCAAAAGTATCCCCGGCAGTAGGAGGTAAGTTATGTCGGTGAACACATTTACGGACTTGAGCATGAGTCTCTGCTTCATGCTGAAACATCCTCACCAATTCTTGCAGCTCTAGCTTCCTAACTTCAACCTGTTCCTCGGCAATAGGTTTTTTCAGTCCGAGGTAAACCAGACCAAGTGCAATCAGCACTGCTCCTATAAAGAAAGTAATGGCCGTGAAGACACCAAATGCATATGGCGTATTTGCTGCCCCAGGTATTCCATCAACATTGATTCCAAATAGTCCAGTAATGATGGTAAGAACAACACCACATCCCCCAAATACGCCTAAATTATGCGTCACCCGCAGGCTTCTATCCTGAATTAATATTCAATAGAAGCACGGATAGTTATGGTGTTAATATAGGAACAGTAATATCATGAGTTAGTGTGAACATGGCTGATGCTATGCTCATGCCTCCTACAATGTTTTCTTTCTTTCTTTTTGTTTTTTGTTTTTTTGTTTTAGGTAGACAAATCTGGTTTCATTGTGATAGAGCTCTACTCTATAGTAACTAATAGAACTAAGCTTTTAATGCAAAGAGAAATAAATGAGGGAAATTCTGAGGTTTTGATATTAACGCATATGAACCGAATCAGTGTTACAAAGAGAAACTCACTGATTCTAGCCAAAACCCTATTCCTTATGACTGAAATTACAAACCAAATGAAAAAACACAGCAACAAGAACAAGGCCTCTCACTGGTGTTCGAGAGACCAGCACTCTCCTCACTTCTGGCTAACTGTTCCTAAAACATCTTTGAGTGCCAACAACATAATACAGCAAAATAAAGCAAGCAAAAAGGTGACTTCAGTATCAAGACTAAATCTAAGCCACCCTACCAAAACATAATGACATAATCCTTCTTTTTTGGACTCCCAGGATATTAATCCTGACCCAAGGGATATTTCCTTTTACACCCAACTGCCCCCTTGATCTCCTCTTATAAGTCTGACCATATCTCACGGTCACATCACATTGTCTTTGTGAATCTTCCTTTTGCATGACTTTTATAAAGAATGAAGTTTTTACAGTTAAGGTGTTAAATATAATAATCTGCTAATGCATGAAGCAATTAGACACATTTAAAAGAATCATGTTCACTGAATGAGATTTACATCCTATAATTTAATGCTCCCCATGCAACATGTGGGGTAGTAAAAGCTAGTTAATATTCAATAGAAGCACGGACGGTTATGGTATTAATATAGGAACAGTAATGGAGAAATCATTTTGAATACTGTTTGAGCAGGGATGACAATGGATTGGAGTAGGATGAAGTTTACGATTCCCATTCTCTGTTATTCATTTTGTCAAACATCTACTATATCATTATGCTTTTTTCTTTAAGATTTCTATACTTAATCTTATATACTTAATATACTCATATTTAATCAAATCATGACAAATGGATCTTAATATGTTAATTAAATTAATAATAAGAATTTACTATAGAATAAATAACTCATATAAGATTCACAAGTCTTGATTTAATTGAAAACAAACACATTAAATATATAAGGCTAAGTATATAAAGTTTTCTCTCTACTTTTTTTTTGGAAGGGGGGGGCTGTGTCTTCCTATTTTACACCCATATCCATGGGTATTTTATCACCTGATACTCATCTCTTTAGTTATAAGTTCAAATGTTATCATTGATAGTTCTGTAGATTTATATCCTAACGGAATATAAGGCAAGATAGAGATCGAGCTGCCTTGCCCAAACATGCTCCAAACTCTGATTGGATGCTAACTGATAGAGTTCCGAGATAATGGGTGATTTGAGAAGATAAATATTATAAATAAATATTATTTTTAATTTATTTTAGATATTTTCTATTTAATAATATTTTTAGATTTTATTTAGGGATTTAATTATCTAGATTTTATATAGATATTTAGATATTTATTTAGATATCTATATATTTATCCAAATATCTAATTATTTAGATTTTGTTCAAATATTTAGTTCTTTAAATTTTATTTACTATTTTATATGGATATAGATTCTACGAAATTTTATTTAGTTTTATTTAATTATCTAGTTAACTAAATTTTATTCATCATTTTAGATTGTATTTAGCATTATAAATATGTTTAGCAACTTAGTAGCAGGCATATCATGAATAAAACAGACTTTTGAGACTTTTGGCTTTTTGGAGATTCTAAGCGTGGCTATTGAGAGAAATATAGAACGAGATTCTTGTTTTATATTATCTTGATAGATTTATTTCTTTTACTTTCTTCTATCAGTTCTATGTTCTCTTATTAATATTATGAAATTAAATTTTGATTTCATATGTCAATAAAGATTTATCTTCCTTATTTTTCTCTATCCATCTTGGGTCCGATCACTAACTTAACAGGATGAGACATGCAGAGTATTTATCGGACCTAAATGTCATCCTATGATTGAGAGAGAGAAACATAGGTGAAAAACTTGGCAACAATACCTGAAGCCAGGCACGGACACTGCTCAGCATAACATCCTGAATGGTAAATAGGCGGCCTCGAACTGCTTCTTGCTCTTCAATCATGTCCCTTGTGCTCTTTCTTATTCCCTCTAACAGATTTCTAGCCACATTGCCTCTGACGTGTTGGAGAAGTTCAAACACAATCTCCTCTCTCGCATGGAGTGACCACTTTACTCTGATAACCTGCAGTGGAAACACAACAGTAAGGACAAAGGATAACGCTCCAGTCTCTCCCAGTCTCCCATATAGTGCATACAAACCGAGAAGTAATGGCTATAATATTTGTGCCTGAGTGATTAACATTAAAATAATCAACACACAGTGAGATGTTCCATATCTCTATAAACCAACAGTTATTCCTTATAAGACTAAATATGCTGCCTCCATTACAACCCCAACATCTGTCGTTTTCATCATTTACAACGCAAGATATTGATGTTGTTTAGATAAATCTGTCATCTAAATATGAGACAAATTAATCATTATTAGCAGCACATTTTCCCAACTAAAATAAACCAATAAATAATATTACTTCATGTGAGTAACTTTGTTAGTAGGAGCATAAGAAACTGCTCCTACGTCAAAGGACACACCCAATGTTGACAAAAGCTCCATAGAAATTATTCAACAAGAAAGTAGCTGGCCAAGACAATAAAAATAAATGGCATACTTCATGTAAAAATGATCTAAAGAAATATACTTGGGCTCACTATTGCTCATGTAGCTCATAATAGACAAGAAAATTCTTCAAAGAAGTGTTTTCTGAATCAACATACCTGTCTAGATAACCTTCTGATTTCTTGATTAAGAATTATGCTTAAAAGGTTTATGTCTTCATGATTTCTCCTTGTCAAAAGGAAAACTCTCAATTTAGTGCAGAGCAATTTTAAACTTTAAAGTAACACTATAATTTGAATACCCACACATAATGCATAGTCACGAACCTGTTCATAAACTTCAATTCAATCTCGTCAGCTGCCCCAAATATTGATTTACGGAAAAACCTGAATAACTAAAGAAGATTGTTAAACCAAAGAAGAGTCGTGCCTCAATGCAAACATGAGGCCAATTCCTGACAAATGCCACTTTTTTAAAGAGCATGCCTCGGGTACAAATAAGCCCATATATAGTCAATTTCTGAGAGGAAACAAGCCATACCAATCACAATCATGAACTTCGCCTCATTTTTGTTTTTGTTTTATATTTTCTTGTTTTTGTGATCTTATCTCCATAAAATCACTATCTTGCATATTACAAATTTTGAAACCTACAGCGAGAGAGAGTAAAAAACAACATTCAGCCATTCAGATACGATACCAAACATTGACCCTTTTTTAATTTTGGCCAGGGACCACCAGATAGCATCTTAGGAATAATAACAGATTTAGGTACCCTAAAGCATATAAACAGTAGAAAAATGTGTCAAGTTATAAGGCAATTGTCGGTTTAGTTTTCTTCACAGAAAAACAAATGTGCAACCACAGAAGGAAAAAACAAAGATGTCACAAAGAGTTAAAACGAAAGCATAGAACACAGCATTGAACATGAGATATAACACTGCATACATGACCTGGTTCAAATGCTATTGTTCATATCAAATAAATCAGATATCAGATAATGTTGTCAGTACCTATCATCCCATTGAGAAAGGTGGCACGCTAAATGTGCTATAACTTCATGCACAGTCCTTGGCATGTTATACCCTCCAACAGAAAGAAGTTCCTAAACCAAAGCACAGTGCTGAAGCAATAAAACATCTTTTTAAAGGAGAATGCACATGGTAAATCATTAACTTTTGACTAGATGCCATCAAAAGAATAAGCCAAGGAAGAAAAACCTGGACTTCTGTGATACCCAAAACATTCACTCTTGACACGGATCCTTTTACATGCATTACAGTCACTAGGAAGTTTTGCGCATGCCAAGACCTAAGTACTACAGGGACGTCATCTTCATCAACAAAGGGATCACCAGCAGACTGTCCCAAGAGCTCAAATAACAGACCTCCAGCAACTCTGACTGGGACCTATATACAAGAGAACAGTTTTAGCAATAACTGAGAAACTAGAGACTGAAGAGAGAAGGCCTTATAGAGTAGGGGGAAAAAATCTTTCTTTGTTGCAAATGTTGTTTAACAAGAAGATTCCTTTTTAACATCTATCATATCAAGTAGTTGAGCATACATATAGTAGATCATTCACACAGCTGTGAATTAGAATTATTAGCTGACAATAGATTTTAAAAAATAGTTACAAAGAAGAAGGAACTGGATCATTTTGGCGAACATTATGCTATCACAGCTTTTCTATTTGATCTGAAGGCATATAATACAAATCACAGTTTACAAGCATTTACTCACCTGTACGTAAAAACGCTTAGCACTGGAAACATGCTTACTTGGCTATAAGTGACAATAGTTGATATACTATCATTCTATCAACATACAGAATCAACAACAAAGCATCTTGCTCATCCATGATCCAACAGCAGTTCATTTTTTTAATTCATATTACGGATGCTCACCTAACAAACAGCAACCCAACAAGCCCCCAGACCAGAAACAAACAAGTAACGCTATTGAAGATATAAGATAATACTTTTATACAGATCTTAGCTAAAGCTATTGAAGAAATTCAAAATACTTGCTATTTTAACACAAACTTCATTCAAAGATCGTCTTGTGCACAATTCATATTCAATTTTTTTTTTCCTAAAGTTTTGCAATTTATGGAAGTCATTTCCCTCTTTAAAGTTTTAGCATATGCATTTCTGATTTTCTCGCTGACATTGTCACTGGTTTTGTGAGCTTAGCCTAATATGGCATCAAGAGCTTGATATTGCACATGGAAATGATCTTTAGCAAAATAGATTGTCCAAAATCAGTTTTGAAGATAATTACATTGAAGAGTAGAAGAACTGAAAACACAAGTCACCTCATAGAGAAGGTGTTTCATCCGCTCACTTATTAACCGACTTTCATCTCTTAGAGCTACACTAATGGCAGGATGAAGCCACTGAGCATTTCTAAGCCACGACTCAATGTTGCGGTGACCTGCAGACACATTGCACCACCATACAGGCCCCGATGGACGCTCCCTATAGGGAGCTGCTATATCTGCCACGGTGAAATCATCTTCATCATCTGCAAACTCAAACTGCTGAGAGGCCCAGACTGCATTGACCTGAACTGTTTGGACAAGCTCCAAAATTCTTGTCCACCCAATTGGTACCCAATGACTATGCTCAAATTTTTCTGCAGCATTAAATTGGTTATACTGAAAAAAATGGCCATCTCTGTCACCCAAGGTATGCAACCGACTACCACTTAAATGAAATGTAGATGATGACTCTGATAACTTGTTTCCGTCTGGACTCAGGGAAGCTCCTCTTGAACCATCTGTAGGAACATGCATCTTAGGATGCACAACGTCCATTTGTTGTTTACCTGGGATATTTTTGGGGGAATTTGATTGAACTGATTTTTTTTTCCCTCCAACAAATTCAAAGGCACAAATAAGCCCATCAGTCCAAAGGTCACTTTGAGAATGATAATCCTTAACATCACAAGTTTTAACGTTTGCAGGTTTCATCTTTTGGCCCAGGGAGTGCGAGTGGTCTCTTATGTCACTCACTTTCAGCTCCATCTCAGGGTATATGTGAAATAAAGCATCCAACATAAACCATCATGTCAAGGTATCTTAGGAATAGAAACTTCACAAAGCACACCACTCTTCCATAAACAGCTCCATAAAGGGCAGGTTCTGTCATGTGATGTTTGAAAAAATTAGTTCGACTTCACACCTTGGGTTTGATCATCAATAGAAAAATTTTCTGAGCGACCATAAATTAGTTGTGCAGTTTCGAAGGAAGACTAGTTAACTGTGTATTTAGGATACTACAGTATTTTACTGAAAAAAAGGCTCAAGCGAATAAATAATTCACTATTCTTGCACCTCTTGTGCTAAATTAAACAAAGATTGCATGTCACATAAGATCAACTTAGATGACAAGGGTAAGGTAAGATGTAAGGGCAAGATAGGATGTAGGTAGTATCATGGTTAAACCATCCTCCAAGGAAAGATTGCATAAAAGTCTTGATAGAAATGTTCCAAGTCTAGCTAACCAATACAACATATTTTCTCAAGAATGGAGTTCGCTAGTTTTTGTATCCCTACGAAGGTGAGGCAAAAGATACGAGAATACAACGAGTAAAATTTTCAAGGATTCAGGTTAGAAATCAGAATTAGTCAGGTATGTTAAGCAAATAAGCAGTAGATCAAAGAATTAGTTTCAGTGGAAACCTATCCATCTTAATCAAGACCCTAACTGGGCAAAAAAAAAAAAAAAAAATCGTTCTTGTGTCTGTGAAACACAATGAGATTCAATCACTGCATAGCATTCCTGGTGCATTGGTTTCCAACGAACCGGGACGTTTCATGTTCAAGAGGCAAGAGTATACCTAAGCATTGTATTAGTACAATAGTACTGATCATTTAAACAGAGTTCCATAGCTGTTTCCCTTTTTTTTTTCCCCCTTCCAAACACCCAACTTCATATTCTCAACAGCTAAAAAGATTTGCTATCAGTCTCTAGGAACACAGCCATCTAGAGAACTATGCCCTGTTAACTCTATGATCCATCAACAAATAATCATGTGCGCCAAACAAAAGTATCATGACGATAATGACCCGAACCAAGAATAACCCAACGTGAAGAACAAAAATTTGGACTCAGATTATAGACGTGAATAAGCACGAATACTGGATGCTAACAGGCAAGAAAAGAATATATATAAAATCAAGCGTTGGGAGACTTGCAACTCCAAAGAGAGCTTGAACAGAGAAAATAATAACCGGAATACGAAGAATAAAATTCATAATAACAATGCTAATCATTGAGGCATTCAATAACTGAAGCTATAAGACAAAGAGATGGAGTTTGCCACGTGGAGATGGAGGTGGTTCCGACACGTCCCACGGAAATGGTAAAACGTACGGTCGCAGAAACTGGAAGTAAAGTAGTTCGCTGGGCTAACATGCGCAGCACTAATCGCCGGAGGTTGCTAATGTACGCCGAGATGGCGGTATTTATTTATTTATTTATTTATTTTTTATGACAAGGTTGTTCGACCCTGATCGGGGAATCCATTGAGAATTTTGGGCCTATTAGAGCGGGAGCACAGATTGCAGCAGTATCTACATGACAGTTTTTAGACCAAACCCAATATAAGCATTGCTATAATTATATTTTGTTTAATTAAATGCTATTTATGATATTTCTTTGGTAAATATAAGATACTGTAATAATACTTTTAATTTAATCTTTTAAATTTATATAAAATTTCATTTTAATCCTTTAATCTTGTAAAGTTTTTTTTCCAATCTTTTCACTTTAATACCGTTAATTTTATAATTAAAAAAACGTTTTAAGTTTTTAAATATTGATAAAATATTCTTAAATATTAACATATTAAATTTAATTTTTTTAAATAATAATGATTGATACAAAACCAAAAGTCATCATTTTTAGCTAATGATATTAGGATTAAAAAAAATAAAAAACTACTATATAAAATTGAGAGACCAAACTGAAATTTTATACAAAATTAAAAGATTAAAAGTATAATTTGGTTGGAATGTTATTAAGAAAACTTATCATACAAATTAATGAAATACTCGCTCCAAAAATTACAACAATTGTAAATATAATGTATGATAGACTAGAAAGACAGACAAATACACTTTCAGACAACAAAGGCATTCCACACGTCATTTGTTCCCGCTCTTGTTTTCTGTCTTAGGGCCATATAAAATGTAAATACAAGGTTCGTTTTTTAAAGCCATGATCTAACGGTCACGACATTGTTCATTTCATTCAAAAGTACTGAAATAATGTAATCTTAGGGCTAATGTAAATATAAATTTCGTTTTCAGACGTATATAAAAAACAGTTCCTCTACACCAAAATTAATATTCAGAGATATTCATATTCATTTTCTGGCCAACAATCCCTGGTATTTAGAGACACAAATTGAGGAATTGAAGGCTGTAGTAAGGACTTACTCCCTCCCCTCAATCGCAGTAAAAACCACTTGACTTGAAATACATTTTTGAGAAGAGGAAAAAAGTAGAGTGCCCATCCGCATACTTGCAGTATCCATACAAGTGAATCTTTTCTTTTTCTATCCTCATTTTACCTAAGACAACTTTAAAATAAGTCTTCTTTAAAAAAAAAAAAAAAAAAGACAGTACGCTGTGAATTGGTCTAGTTCTGGGGTAACATTCTATAACTTGCGGGTTTATGGCTGCAATATCTGAGACTGTAGATAGGGCAGTATGCAAAGAACTTTCCACTATAACCAGTAAGAGAACAGTATAACGGGCGAAAAGCGTACCAAGCAGACCAAATTAGCACACTTAGTTCCTAAGTTAAACAACACGACAGTAATGGTGTAGAATACAACCTCGTGGCACAGGGCAGCAGACAGTCAAGGTCTCTTTTAGACCAAACAATGATACATTTAAATTATTAGACCGTAACGCCCCTGCTCGGCCACTTTAAAAACTCACACCCAGAGCCTGAAATACCAGGAGACATAGGATTAGTAGCTGTTTTGCCATAGTTGTTGAGGCTGCTTGGTGGCTTGTTGGCTTTGAGATCCGCCTAGGGATGCTTCTCTAGGATTCTGCTGCTGATGTTCCAGAGAAACACCTGTCTGAGAATGGTATAAATTAGGATAGCCTAGGGGTCCAAAATGCTGTGAAGGCTGCTGGCCTTGCCGAAATCCACTGGACTGTTGATTCTGTCCCTGAAAGCTGTAATATGTGCTTGCTGGAACTGCAGACATTGTTCGGGAGCCAGGTGCATGTACCCACATCGCAGAATTATCATTCTAGCAAAACAAGAAAAACATAGTCCGCATGAACTTCACAGGTAAGAAATACAGCTCCAAATGAGAAGTCAAAATCCTTAGTCTGGGGGCTACATTTTCTCACAAACACGAGTGAAAAGAAAATTTTAAACTTTGGTACAGATGAAACCATGGCAACAGAATTTTCCAAAATGATCCATCTCTATTTTGGCAGCGAAACTGTCAGGGAAGAAATGAAAACCAAGGTAAAGTATTGAGGCTGAAGATCTTTGTACCTGCTGTAGTGATATCAAGTGATTATTGTCCTTGTACTGCGAGTTAATGATATCGTCATAGCCAATGGTTGTGCCAGTAGGAGCAGCAGGTGGATTCAAAGGGAAGTTCCCTCCAGGAATGCTGGTGGAACTTCCAAAACCATATGCAGATGCAATAGCCGCTGACTGGGGCAAGCTGCTGACAGAAACACTGTTTTTATATTGTGGAAGGACTGCTGCAAGAGATTGGTGGTACGTGTTATTTCCAGGAAAAGCCTGCTGAAAAGCTGAAGGCATGTAGGTATAGCTCTGAGGCAAAAACGGATAGCTTATCATATTAGCATAATGTCCCAAAGGAAGTGTAGGTTGGGAGTAGGGATGCACAGCGAGATGTTGAGGAAGTGCAGGTCCAGTGGCAATGCCAGCACCAGGCAAGGATTGTTGTGGATTAGGTTGAGGCGTAGAGATGCTGCTTGCTCTTAGAGCCTGCATATCAACATGGATAAATTATCAAATGACCGAATTCATAAAATCACCCTCTCTCATAAGCCCAAAAAAATACATCACACACAAATCTAACTCAGCAAACGCCATCACAGATAAGCAACACAAAATGACATGCTCTACAATTGCTGTGCATTAAATGAAAAATTTCATCCTGCAATTATGGAAAACATTAACAGCTACCCACAAATTGCAAATGGCTCCTTAGCACACCTATGGCAAGAAAAGAGAGTATTCGAATTTCAAATTCTATAGTGTCAAAATTTGTACTTCAGTGCTTTGGCTTAGTTGCAATTTACTTTCAATCAGTCAATTGACCAAGCAATCAAATTGTTGTGCAAAATTTCTCCCATCCCATTGTGTGTTTCAAGACCAATCATCCAGAGCGACAATCAAAAGTGCTAAGGAGTACGAGGGGCTCTACTATTTTGAAGTCCTCGCTCGAGTTGGTAACTCAACGATTGTCACAACTCTGCATCTACCTCTAAAGTTAATGATTTTATGCTGTGACATGAAAGGATGGGTCACCCTAATTTTCATTATCTTAAACGATTGTTCCCAACTCTATGCCCAAACCTGAATATTAGTGACCTTTATTGGAAAGTGTGTGAACTTGCCGAACACCATAGAACTTCATTTCCTAAAGCCACATAACCATCCACCAAACCTTTCATAACCATTCATAGTGACTTGTGCAGGTCATCTTGTACTTCCAATCAAACTAAAACATGGTTTATTTCCTTCATTGATGACCATACTTGTGCTTGTTGGGTTTCTCTGTTAAGAAACAAGTATGAGGCTGCATCCATGTTCATTAATTTCTTTAACATGATCAAAACCTAGTTCAATACCACCATCCAAGTATTACACACCAATAATGACATTAAGTACTTCAACCAATCTTTTAGTACTTTCTATCAAATGCATGGTATTGTCCATACCAATTCTTGTGCCCATGCACCTCAACAAAATGGGGTTGCAGAAAGGAAAATCAACATATACTTAAATTCTTAATTCAAAAAAAAAATTCTTAATTGAATAAAAATAAAGGAGTACCCTGGAATTTACAAGAGATTTCCTTGTCGGAATAGGGTTATATACATTCTCATTATGAGAAGGGGTCATTTGAGTAGTATCTATTTACCTGCAATGTGCCGAAGTTTTATTGGAGGTTGCTATTTTGATTGCCACATACCTAATTAACCATATGCTCCATCGAATCTCATCCTTTGAAACCATTATCCACAAATTGCAAAGGGTTTTCTCCACATCCCATTTTGAAACCAATCTTTCACTTCGTGTGTTTAGTCGCACAACCTTTGTCCATAACCACCAAAGCAATAAACTTGAACCTCGAGCTATCAAATGCATATTCCTTGGTTACTCTGCTATTCGAACAAAATACAGATGCTTTGACCCTGTTTTCAAACACACATTTGTCAACCTTGATGTCATCTTTCATGAAGATATTCCATTCTATCCCAATCCTTCAATTTAAGGGGAGAGCATAGGTCAATCTTAGACTTGGGAACAAGAACCTAACTAAGAATTGGTGCTTCCTAAGCCATGGTTAACACCAACTAAGCCAGTAATACCACCACCTCCCGAACCATTACCTCCACCTGCTCTACCACCACCACCTCCTGAACCATTACCTCCACCTACTCTACCAACAACACCATATCCTCTTATGCAGGCAGAGAGGAGGAGATGCACAAAGACCACAAAAGGGAGAATTGTCAGTTTACACTCAGAAAAAGAAATCAAAAGATAGTGAGCAACTTGTACCTAAACCATCAAGAGAGTCAAAACCAAAGGTAGCTCTTGAAGCAAAAACTCATGGAGATTTAGATGATATAGAACAACTGATCTTGATTTTCCTATTGCTTTGTGGAAGCAACATTGCCCATGTACTTTTCATCCAATAAAGAGGTTTGTCTCATACAATGCACTTTCTCCTCAATATCGGGCCTTTGTTACTAATCCTGATAACGTGAAGGCACCTGAGAGTCTCGACTTGAGACTATATAGGAAGCCCTAGGCATCCTTGAATGGCGGAGTGCTACATGAAAGAAATGAGGGCCTTAGAAAAGAATGGGACATGGAAACTTGTTCAACCACCTAAAGAAAAGAGAACAATGAGTTGTAAATGGGTGTTCATCCTAAATACAAGGCTGATGGAACCCTTGACAAGCTGAAAACATGCTTGGTCACAAAGGCGTCGACCCAAACATAAGATCTAGACTATGAAGAAACACTCCAATGG